CAGCTCAGCGATTACTTGAACTTAACCCCAGCCCTGATGGCAATCTTCGATCCTTGAATACTCTTGGAGACTTCAACGCTGAGTAGGAAAATAAGAGATTCGAGAGCGTGGTTTCCTTTGGAGATAGTTTCAAATTTTGATTTCTACCAGCGGGTTGATTATTGAAATTGATAGACAGCGTGATGGACAAAAAAATAACGAGAAAATGGGGCAATTCTATTGGTGGAAACGGGTGGTTGCAATGAACTATTAAGGAGGTAAGAAATGGACTAAATATGACGTTTACACGTTAGAGATCTTATAATTAGTCCATCATTTCCCCCTCAGTCTATAACAGAAGTATGATAGGAAGTATGCAACTTCGCTAACGGAAATATACGTGATTTCGCACTCTGGCCATCTGCATATGATGCAAAAATGGACACCTAAGAACTCCAAGAGAGAAATTTATACTCAAATTAATCTTGAAAGTAGTATCTTATTCCTTTTCATTTATTTATTGTAGTACGATTCATTTTATTCCTTATGATTCCTGAAAATCTGTAGAATTTCTACTCAAATTAATCTCGAAGGTAGTACCTTATTTCACTTCATTTACTTATTGTAGTACGATTCATTTTCTTCATTTGAAGTTCAACTCAGCTCAATTTCTTCAAATGAGTTGAATTTCTTTTGAGATAACCAACTTTTATTTAGTAGTTTATCTTTTCTGTATGATTTTAAAAATCAGTTGAAATAGTCAGGCGAAATTTTTCCCAATATGCTAATATTGGTTTTTGTAACCTGCTTCACACACTCAGTTGTCTTACCGATCCCGATGATATGCCAACCTGGCAATGCCGGGAACTTTATTAGATAGACTTAGTTAATAATAAGATCTGTTATAACTTGTGAACACCTGTTTATTTTATCAATGTAACATGTAACTTCTCTAATAAAGTATTTTCAAAAAAAAAAAAAAAAAAAAAAAAAAAAAAGAGAGAAATGTGAAGTCGCAAGTCGACTTTTGAAAATCTGGCAAACTCTGTTTCTTTCGTTTTGCGGCAAGCCGCAACTGTAACTGGTTTGGATAATAAACGCGCATTAAGGAAGAACTTCAACTTAGTTGAGGGCGCAAGAGACATTCACGTGCGTGCAGTGCGAGCTACTGGTTTTTTGAAGGAACTTACACGCGTATAATCTCGTTAAAAAATCATAAAAACTTTCGAATTTTCGCCGGCGAAATTGAAACGCGTCGCGGCGGGTTATTTTCGCTTCAAGACTGGCGGCTAAACCGTTCACACGGAAGTATTTATCCCAGATTTGTTTTTTGCTTCTCATGCCCCATGCGATCTCGTTAACTCCTTAACTGGCGACAAATAAATCGAGTCGATAATTGAGGTGTGTTTTTGGATTGCCTTAAAGAGCAGATACTGCTATGTCTGTACTGGAGACAACTTATTTGTGTGCAGTTTTTAGGGTATTTGCAATGTGAAAATTTTTTAGACGTACATCGAAGGATTTAATTAGGAGCGAGGAAGCTTGTTTCCTTCCGTCTCACATTTATCTTTGTTCCAAGTTAAAGTCATTTGGTTCCTTTTCACTGAACACCGCCTATACAGGGTGATCCAGGGCTAAACGGCCAGACTGCAGGAGCCGAAACACCCCCATACTCCTTCTTTAAATTGAGATTTCGATTTTTCTTAGATCATTTATGACTTCAAGGCATAAAAGTACAGGGTAGTACAAATTTTCATCAGATTTGGTTCACAATCGTTGCCAAAATTCAGGAAAAACTATTTACTTTCCGAATTTTGGGAGGGGCCGTAGCTCTGACTAGGGGCACTTTTGGACAAAAACTTTATACAACAAAAAAGTCTTATTTTACCCGCAGAACACGCTCCTACAGTCTGGCCGTTTAACCCTGGATCACCCTGTATATTTATTCTGACTTGAGTCCCGAGATCCATAAGATTACGTCCATAAAAGGGCTCATGTCAAATTTGATATAGTTCCTTTTGATTTACACGCGTCCATACGATAGTATAAAGATAAAAATGACGCGCCTCGAGTCAATAGGGCCGCCGAGCTAACTTGTTAAAGGGTTTATGGAGGAATGTTAGAAGGGGCGGGTTCTTTGACTGCGGGTAATGGCAAGGCGCTCATGCGGACACTTCGGATGTCTGCGACAGAGTTCTCACGAGTGTCATTCGGCGAGGCATCCTTTATGACCTCCAGCCCCTACCCCAGTCCAAGTCTCGATAATGGAGTCGAATTACCCGAAGGTGTAAATTTTATATCCGGCGATTCCCGTGATTCCCACCTGGACATTGGTCCCGCAGTTGCGGTGTTGTCCGATTTTTTTCCGGTGTCAGAGCTTTGGATCGAAGCTGCCCCGCTTGCTTGCTCGCCTTCTAGAGGCATGGCATGCTTTGTGACAACGCGATTGATCTGCCATTTATACTTATGGGAAAGGATCGATATACTAACAATCGATTCTTCAGAATAGCCTTAAAAGGGAAAATATCGATAATCGATTATTCACGCCTTGCACTGGAAAAAAAACCACATTGGATCTAGAGTCCAGAATCTTGAAAACATTGACAAGAAAAAATACTCTTGATTCAATCAGATTTTTGCTTAAATCATAAGGAAATCCGTTCAAATTTAGAGGCTTGGTTCTTGATTTAAGCAAAAATCCGATTGAATCAAGAGTATTTTTTCTTGTCGATGTTTTTAAGAGTCTGGACTCTAGATCCAATGTGTTTCTTTTTTCCAGTGTGCCTCTGTTACCTTCATCTTCGGAGGTGATATGTTTCGGAAAAGAAAAATGAGTAACAGACGTTAGGGTTGGATGATACTGACAACGCTAGAATAGGTTCACGTCTCTGATTCTGCGAACAGATTTTAACTCATCAATGTTAATACCTCAAAAAATTCAAATTTTACGAGAGGAGGCAAAAACTTTCTCACAATGAGCAAAGTATCAGATGAACGTTAGCAAGGACGTTTAATGTTCCCAAGATTGTCTGAAGTCGTATCATGACCAATTTAATCCTGCTTAATTTGTTAGTTTGCACTGAATTTACGATGAGCAAATTTTCCTTTGGGCACGTTAGATTTTTAGATAGCTCAAATAAATAATTTTTGTTTTAAAAAACAGAGTGACTTCTGAACTTTTTGCATAAATTTTACACAAACGATGAAATTCTTCTACACAAGGAGTATCGCGTAAGACCCATTGTTTTTACATCATGGACATGTTATAATAGGACATGTCACTGGATTACTCATTTTTCCGGAAACGCTCATTTATGAACATTCTTGTTCATCTTGATTTGATATTGAAATCTGAAGAGTGGCAGTGAAGTTGTTTGTGTTAGTAGGTTGGCTTTCTTTTTGGGCCCCGCGAGTTCCATATTTCGACATGCCCGTGCCCACCTTACGTGCTTAGGTACTAGTCTTCAGTACCTCTGTTAAAATTTTTATTAAGTCAACCAAGGTACCTTAGTGCTCCAGATGTCTGTCCCTAACTCCGGCAGCTGGACCTCAAGTTTTCAGATGCACGTTCTGAAAAATTCACAGATCCACAAGACCTGATCCTCGAGTCCCACGCACAGAGTTTTTTCCCGTGTTGTGTTCCAAATTAAAAAGTTTCTATCCATCTTCAAGTGGTCAGCGGCTCACTTTCTGTCTCTGTCTCTGGCATCAGCTTTGAACACGGAGAAAAAACCCTCGTGCGTGGGACCCGAAGTTTCGGTCATAGGGATCCCTGAAGTTTTCAGATTGAGCATCTGAACATTTTAAGGTCTAGCTGCCGAAGTTCAGGTCTGACATCTGAAACTTCAGTTCTTACATCTGAAGCACTTCGGTTTCCACATCCGAAAAACTTCGGTTCTCACATCTGAAGTACTTCAGATTTAAGAACTGAAGTTTCAGATGTCAGACCTGAACTTCGGCAGCTAGACCTTAAGTGTTCAGACGCTCAATCCAAAAACTTCAGAGATCCATATGACCTAAACTTTGGGTCCCACGCACGAAGTTTCTTTCTCCGTGAAGATCCTTGATCAGCGGGCAAGGATATCCGTAATTACATTGCCACAACGGCAACGCGGTAGTAATTGGCAGTGGACAGTGGCATTACTCGGGGCGATGCCCGGGCGGCCGCGGGCTCCTCTGTCCGCGCCGAAGGGCCCCGAGACGATGCGGGGGTGGGAGGCCGCTCAAGAAGCTCCCTGGTTCCCACGCACTCGCCCGGACTCCGACTCGGCTAATTTCTGCACCTTCAAGGTCCGGTCCGGTCCCGGCCAACGTCTGTCTTCCCTTCTCCCGAGCCCGAGTCGTTGTTTCCGACCAAAACCGTCGTTTGATGCACTCCCGAGTCAAGCCCCGCAGCTTTTAATTAGTGGTTGCCGGGAGCCGCCTCTCCCACGAGCCTCGCCGAAGTTTATGCAACCTCGGTGCATCTTCTAAGGATCGGCTGCATAGCAGAATTCTCAATGAATTCGATATCTTCATGATTGGTTGTATCATCATTTGCAACAAAGTTGCAGTTTTTTTGTCAATAACATTACGTCTAAGAGTCCACGCCAAATAAGTTTACGCAATTTTAGACTGTAGCAAAAGATCCGCCATCTTGATATTTGCATTCGGTTTCCATCCTAAAATGACGTTAGTCGATATTCTGCCGCAGTCTAAAAGTGCATAAACTCATTTGGCGTGGACTCTTGGAATGGGTTATAGTTCGACCGAATTTAAAGAAGGCTTAGTCACATCAAGAATTTAAGATGAAACCGATAATAAAATTTTGGGACTTTATTTCCTTTCCTGAGTTTTCTTTTTGAGTAAAAGTTCTATTCTAATACTGTAACAGTGGATCTGTATTGCGGGCATATTATCATATTATCATATTATCATCTTTACTATATAATATCTGTTAACTCCAGTGTGTGTTTCTAACCAAGTGTTTCCCAACTTGCTTTCACCTATTAATTTTTCTATCTGATTTGAATTTGTTGCAGATTCAAAATGATGCCTGTACTGAAGAAGTTAAGTTTCCTGTACAATCCGTATGTGCTTACGGTGCTTACTCTCGGATACCTGACGTCCGAGATGGGTCACTTCATGATCGGAGTGACAAGTAAGGCCACCGCCACAGACACGCATTACGGAGACATTGCTTGTCAGTACAATATGAGCGATTCATTTCAAGAATTCAACTTCACCCTCTTCTCCAACTGCGATGCTGCCAAGACCGAGGAAGCGTAAGTACTTTT